CCACTAAGACCCTTCAAACTTTTCAATAGAAACAACAAACGTTCCAACACTGGGTAAACTGCTGAAACAGCATTCTAAAGTTCCTTTGGGTCCACGGGTCAGATTCCCCCAGTACGTAAACGTACTTAACTGTCTAGTCCATATTAATTAGAATGCAAACATGAAAGACCATCAAAAACACAAAGTGTAGAAACAAATTAAGAACTATATTAAGAAGCAACAAATTCAGTGGCGCTGTTACACAGGTGGAGGAAAGTATACTACACGATAAGGAAGCATACAGGGACCAGTTGACTATTCGGGAAAGAATAGGGACAACAGGATCTTGCAGCAACTCTTTGGCAGTCGCATTCGTCACAAGACGAAATCTTGACGCAGGCTGAAAAAATACACAAAATTTGACAGGGCATATTCACCTCGAACAGATAAAAGTGCAGGCATGGCGACTGACATACCAGGGAAGGGGCAGTTAGTAGGAACGAATCCTTGGTGGGACAGAAGGGCAGAGCTTCTCGTTCAAGGTGCCATCGATAACTGGGCGGTACTCAAGCTTCACAGCACCGGTTTCAACATTCTGCGTCGTTAGAGTGTGTTTCCGCCAGTGCTCAGAGAAGGGCTTCTTAGTCTGGCCTTCGATAGGTTTGGAATAGTCATACTCATCAATGCGCTGTCTGAAGTCTTCGCGGGCGTGGGCGCCACGAGATTCCTTGCGAGCCTCAGCCGCAACAATTGTCTACATTAAAAAAGTGCTTGTCAGCCGCAAATTACAAATCTAGACACGCCAGACCCAAGCCAGTTACATACCTGGATGGCATTGAGCATCAGGTTCTGCAACTCAATTGCTTCGACGAGGTCCGAATTCCAAATCATGCTCTTGTCTGTAATCTTTAGTTTGTGCATCTTGTCGTTGTACAACTTCAACATCTTCTCACACCCGGCTTTCAATGTAGGTCCCTCCCGGAAGACAGCGGCATGCTCTTGCATTGTCAGTTGCATTTCTAGACGGACCTGTGAATGGAGAATCGTAATAAGTAATTGTATAAAATCCCCGGGGTGCACACTACCAACTTTAAAATGAAAACTTACGTCAGCTACTGGGAATTCGCCCTTGCCAGAGCGGAGCTTGTCAATGTTGACAATGGACTCCATTCCCGTATCAGCACGAAGTTCGGGCCCAGGGTCATTGGGCTTATGCTTTTCAGCAATGTCGAGGGCACAAGCACGCCCGAATACAACAAGATCGAGGAGCGAATTAGCACCCAGACGGTTGGCTCCATGTACAGACGCGCATGCGACCTCACCAGCAGCATACAATCCGGGCACAAGCTTGTCTTTTTTGGCGACGGGATCGTAGGTTATCACCTGTAAAAAACAGAAGTCGGATTAGGAAGAATTACTGGTAGAAGAAATATGCTCAAATTCTGCGAACTTGAACGTGGATGTTTGAAGCAGAATTTCAATTAGCGCACTTTTACCTGTCCCTTATAATTAGTAGGCACGCCGCCCATATTATAGTGGACAGTGGGTAAGACTGGAACAGGCTCTTTTGTCACATCAACACCAGCAAAGATCATTGCGGTCTCCGATATTCCTGGAAGACGCGAGTGGAGAACCTCAGCGGGCAAGTGGTTGAGCTTAAGGTAGCAATGATCCTTTCGCGGACCAACGCCACGTCCCTCTCGAATCTCAATAGTCATGGCGCGAGAGACAACATCTCTTGAAGCTAGATCCTTGGCGTTTGGCGCATACTTCTCCATGAAACGTTCACCCTTGCTGTTAATCAGATATCCACCTTCGCCACGGCAGCCTTCGGTGATGAGACAGCCAGCGCCATAGATTCCTGAAAATAAAATTGATATTGTAAACATGCAGGCGGAGTATAGAAATAAAAATGACAGGTTTGGGTAAACACATAGGTCGAATACATTACAGAGTTTCTTCCATCCTACCCGGTTAAAAAGAGCCACTTACCAGTAGGGTGGAATTGGACAAACTCCATGTCTTCATTGGGGAGATTCGCTCTGGTGACCATAGCAGTACCGTCACCTGTGCACGTATGCGCAGAAGTGCAGGAGAAGTAGGCGCGGCCATAACCCCTAAATGATGGTTACAGACTGGACAAGAACCTTACCCGGTAGCAAGAATTGTGTTCTTGGCCCGGAAACGGTGAATGGTACCATCCTCGAGACAAATCGCGTTTACGCCACGGCAAACACCATTCTCCATGAGGAGATCCAGCGCGAAATACTCGATGAAATAGTCTGTGCTGTATCGGAGGGAGCGACCATAAAGAGTGTGTAGGAGTGAATGACCCGTCCGGTCAGCTACAGCGCAACAACGATGCGCCTGGCCGCCTTTGCCGTAATTGATGCTCTGGCCACCAAAAGCACGTTGGTAGATTTTTCCATCTTCCGTCCGACTGAAAGGCATTCCGTAGTTTTCCAGTTCGATAACAGCCTTTGGTGCTTGTTCGCACATGTAGTAAATTGCATCCTGGTCGCCTAGCCAGTCCGAACCCTTAACGGTGTCAAACATGTGATACCGCCAGTCATCCTTTTCCATATTCCCTAAAGCAGCATTGATACCACCTTGGGCAGCAACAGTATGTGATCGCGTTGGGAAGAGTTTGGTGACACAAGCCACGCGAAAACCTTCATTGGCCAGACCGAAGGCAGCACGAAGTCCGGCACCACCAGCCCCTACGACAACGGCATCATATGCATGATCAATGATTGTGTAATCCTTAGCGACCGTAGAAGCGCAACGAGCAGCACCCAGGACGGAAGGGGCCGTTAGATGACTCACGCGGCCGGTCAGACACGAAAGACCAGAGCGCAACAAGGACGCCACAACGAACTTGGCAACAGTCTGACTGAAATCGTTCGTCCATATTCGTGATTCATGTAGATAAACAAGGCAGTAGCTGAGTTCGATGGAAGTATCGACTTATTCAATTTCCCAAATATTTTAGGCTTAAAATCTGCAAAAATAATTATGTGTTTATTAACAAGCCAGCTAGTATGGCTTGTTTACTACATATTAATGAAAATACCTTGCGTGTACGCACACGCAAGGCATCAATGGGAAACTGGGAGTAGGTAAAGGGAATCATAAAAGAGGTTTATGAGATGGAGATGATTTAGGGGCAAATCATTCAGGTATAGGCAAGATGCCAATTAGTCTTTGAATTATTCTTTCATATCAAATAAAATGAGGTGTTTGATAGTCTCACACGCTTCTAAACCGCACAGTTACTGAACTTCGTGTTTGATGGAACAATCTGCAAACCAGTTCAATATATGTTCATGCATTTTAGTTCGAAAATCGCCGCTGTGGCTTTCCTTCCAGCGATTGGAGATATTGGTATTTTAACACTAAAGGTTGATATTTTGCTATTCTACTATTGGGCTTTTGAGTGGCAAACTGCGCTGAAAAACGTTCCGGGTTTGCCACCAAAAAAACTCAACTTTTCAGAATGTTCAAATGCTTGTAGCAGAGCAGACCAAGGTGGATTGGTAATAAGCCAACGCGGAATGTTGAATTCGTACTGGGATGCCCGCTGTTAGTTCGCTACCCCAATAGAGTATATGTGAATGAAATTGCCCTGGCCGGTGATTTGATTTCGTAAGCCCGACTTGAAAGAGACTTGACGAAGAGTTGCAGTTACTCATACCGGAATTAGTAAGAAGTAGCTAGATCGTATAGCAAGCCGGCGAGTGATGCGGATAAAATAAACGAATTATTCTTTATCCTCAATG